GAATGAGCGAACTTCCGACAACGAGTGTTTAAGACTTACGCTGGCTGGGAAGAAGTAAGGAAAGGTAGTGATCGGTTGCGTTTTGGCAGGGTATACCCTGGACGGCCCGCCGTCACTTCCTGGGCCATTGTTATATACCACGAGGAAAATGATCAAGGATATGGAATATATCAACCCCGATTCAACACTACACTTGCAACTTTCAATAAGAGTCCCTAACCATGCAGGTGTCAATGAGACTTACACGACTTGGAAGGCCATGTTGTACCGCTCGGCAAATTGCTTTCCTAGGTGTTTCTTAGTCTGATAAGAGATCCACATGATCCTCCCCGCTGAAATGGTGAGTTAGAGGCGACGCAGGCTATGCGAGAATGGTGGTCATACCAGTAAGGCTCGTAGCAACGATGCTTGTGACAAGCGATAGTGCTACGAGCTGGATCGTAATCCTAAAAGTGTATCCTAAAACTGAGGTAGACAAGTCAGTTGGGTTCAATCATTTCGAGGAATAGTCGGCATGCCTGCAGTTGCGAGAAGCAAAATGCATGGGAGGGCGACAATCCTTTTCTTTGAACCCCATACGATATAGCACCGATAGACCTGATGGTGCCAGGTTAAACTTCTCAAATTGATCGAAGAAGGCTCGTTACGAGCAACAACACGTACGATGATTCCATCTGCGACTATGCTGTGGGCAGATTCGTCAGACACTAAACCTACTCAATGCCATCCAGTTACTTACTTGTTAGTGATGTAAATGTGTCCAGCGGCCAGAGCGAAGTTCTCGGGAGCTAATCCCTTGTCTGGGTTCAGCACTGCGTGGTATGTAGAGAGGAAGATCATAATAATATGCGCCGTCGACAAGGCGAACATGATGAAGGCGGTGACTACCAAGAAAATGTTGTGAGATTGCTTCCGGCGGCCCCGGAATATGTAGACGCAAATCCCGAAGAGGACGAGATAGACTCCTACAAGGCTCGGGATCAGTAAAGAGAGGGAGGGCGGAATCAATGAACGGAGAACCATAAAGAAGCGTGCCAACCTATAGAAGCGCCATCGGGTCGCCGTTAGTACGGCGGGTAAATACTCATTAATTAGAGAAGTAACCTACCCATAGAGCAACCAGCGACGCCTAAGCGAGCTTTAGTCAGTCAACCTCGCATTCTTGCAGCAAATTCCAACATACCTTGCGATAAGTGTCTAGCGTCCTTGGCAAAAACGACATGGCTTACTGGGGCAGAAGGGAAAGCCGCATGTAGATAACCTCTAACTCCAATGCTGAGCAGTACATATTGCATTGCACAGATCAGCGGAACGGGAAGTGGATATACCGCGAAGACGATAGGCGCGAGTCTTCCCTGCCAAGATGCCTTCTGATTCGCACTGGGAACAGCGGGGGGAGCATCGGGATCGGAAAGACCGACTTCGGAGTTACATACATAGGTGCGCGCGCACTTGGGGTGATCATCAATATGATTCAGAGGCTCCGCCGCCGTCACTTCAGCTGATGAGAACGTCAGCTACCCGACAGGTCTAATCACTCACCAAGGCGCTCATGCGCGCAGAGTCGTGTTGAGGTAGTTGGTAGCTTCATCGCAACTTCACTGAACGGAGCAGGGTTAGCCACCGGAAGAGACGGACGATACCTATGAGTGTAGTTCCCTTGGTCTCTAACGTCATTCGTCGTTGTCAGTACTATACCGTAGCGGTCGATTGCGGGCAACTGTGTATAGTGATACCAATGCCCAATCTAAGGAATCGTTGAACAATGAGCTTGAAATACATGTGGCACAACTTGAAATATCTTCTAGATATTCGGACCAGTGTGTGGGACATCCAATCGCCTCCAGAGGCCCGTTCTCATATTTGTCTATTCCAATATAAGATACGTCGACATCATGGGTGCTCAAATGATGGTAACAGTGACTCACCCCGTACCATCATCTCTTGCGACCACATGCAATGCGCCGCAAGTATTTCTGTCGTCGAATCACCGCGATAGACTTTGAAGGTGGGTTACACGATGTCCCGAGAAGCCCAGTCAAAGAGTTGCATCACAAGCCACTGAATCTGTTTACATGTTGGTTACCTTACACTGGGGCATGCTGAAGAAATTCAAGTATGGAGGGGTCCATAGGCAGAAGCACTTTCTCTGTTCTGCGTGGTGGCGGGTTCAAGGAATGAAAGTTTAATTCAATGGACGATCACGACTCCTGTATGTCACGTGACTGGATACGTTGCAATTCTGTGCCAGCGTCGAAGTTGGCCAACACGCTTTACTTTTAAACCTTTCTCTTCTCCTCCTGGGTCTTCACCCATCCACTTGCCTTCATGGCCAACTACAACTACGATGAAGGGGGCCAGATGGCTGCCTACTTCATAATATCATTCCTTGCTCTGATTCTTGTCCCTCTGACCGTTTCCTCGGTCTCAAAATCATCAGGTGAGCTAACTGTACTCGTATCCATACGAACGCGAGCTCACGGTCTGGGAGCAGGGAGGAAAGTAACAGGGGGCTGTCGCTGTAAATCATGCCTAGAGCAACGTGCTCGAATATCGAAACGCGAACGGGGTTCATTGCTGAATCCAAAGCTAAGCCGAAAGTACGTCTAGGAATAGACCTAACACTTCCGTCTCGCCTAATTCAATGTATGAAAGAACTATATTCCTTATCCTTGGATGGTCCCTCTTCGCCTACCTCTCGTTCAAAGTCGGCAACGCTAAATTGGACAACAAGATATATGACCCCTTCGAAATCCTGGGTATCAAGAGGGTATGTGTAGCATGAAATAATGCCAAAGGGCTTTGACTTACAGGGTTCCTTGTAGGGAACCACGGAGAAGGAGATCAAGTCGCATTTCAAGAAACTATCTCGCAAATTGTCAGTCCCGTCACCGTTCATAAGTTAATACGTGTCTTCTCACCTTCCGTGCAGCCACCCGGACAAGGTCAAGCCGTCTGGCAATGAAACCATCGAAAGCATTGCAAACCACTTCGTCGATCTCACCAAGGCTTATAAATCGTTAGCTAGCTGTTCCGCGTCGTTTGGGTCCATCTCATTGTTTGTTACATAGGTTGACCGATGCGACAATTCGTCAGAACTGGGAACTCTATGGTCATCCCGATGGAAGACAAGAGATGTCTATGGGAATTGCTTTGCCCAAGTGGATCGTTGAGGGCAAGAACAACATTTATGTTCTTGGTTTCTACGCACTTGTCATTGGTTTGGGCCTTCCATTACTTGTCGTGCGTATCCCTTGCCGCAACCTCCGCTTCTTCATCCAATCAACACACCTATAGGGTCGCTGGTGGTTTGGCAGTCGTCAGCGCACGAAAGACGGTGTCAACGCAAAATCCGCCGCAGCTTTCTTCAAGACGCTGAAAGAGGAATCGGCTATGGGGGATGTTGTCGGCTCCCTTGGTAAAGCTTACGAATACGAGAACCCTTCCCCCATCACCAGTGCAGCTGAACGAGAGGAATTGAAGGCCCTGGAGAAAGAGATTGCATTGTCAGCTGACAAGAAATGGACGGACGTCAAGAAGCTGATCGAGACGGACGATGGCAAAGGCCCCGGCTTCGAAACCCGGTGGAAAGCCCTCGTTCTGATATATGCTCACTTACTCAGACTGCCAGTCAAAGCTCCGTCCCTCCAGCAATGTATGTCTTCGAGATCCTCCCTCCGTTCACTAACTAAAATACCACCCATCATACTAGACCAAACCCGCGTCCTTCTACAAACACCACTCCTTTTGAACGCTCTCCTCCAAATCGCCACCGCACGCAACTGGCTCCGTCCTACCATAGCCGTGATGCGCCTCCACGCCTTCCTCGCCCAAGCCATCTTCCCCGCATTCACCCACAACGACAACATCAAGCGGACAAAATTCGCACAGCTGACAGATATCAAGGAGGCTGAAGCTGTCTCAATATCCCCCAAGGCCACGAAGCTGGAAGAATTGGTTTCTACGCTAGAAGAGAAGGGCGATCCTCGGGCAGCTGAAGCTAAGAAGGTCATCGAGAAATGGGGACGGCTAGAGCTGGTTGACGCTACCTTCCAAGGTATGTTCGTCCATTCGCATCTGATTTCATGATGGCTGATCCTCGTTTGCAGTAATCGGCGAACGCATCGTCACTCCTGGATCTATTGTATTTTTAGTCGTCAAGTTGAGAGTCTCGCCACCAGGCTCTCAACCATCTGAAGAGAAAGATCTTGGCGTAGATGAGACCAAACGGCTGATCAAACTCAACGAAGACAAAGACAACGAATTCTTGATGAGCCGGAACAATGTCGAAGAGCGTCCTGACGAGGATTCTCTCGGTGAATATGCGCACACGCCTCTCTGGCCTGGAGTGAGCATTCCGTCCTGTATCAAGTTTTTGTAGATAACTGATAATATGCAACCGTAGAATCGCAAGCCCTCATGGTGGGTCGTCATCGCCGATGATAAGACCAGCCGGGTCGTCGTTCCTCCCATGAAAGTCACGGATGTACCCTACTCTCAAGTCGACTCTGACCGCAACTTCCGCTCGTACAAAATGCAATTCCAGGCGCCTCAATCTGTCGGTCTCTTCACATGGAAACTTTATATCGTCAGCGACACGTTCGTTGATGAAGAAGTGACCAAAAGCATTACCGTAAGCCGTCCTTGTTCCCATCTCTGACAATAGTTGAATGTGCTCCATTAGCTGAAAATCGATGATCTCTCTGCTCTGAACGCAGACGAGAAGGAGTCCGAGGACGATATCTCCGATCCGGATGAGGACACCCTTGCTGGTCAAATGGCTGCCATGCGCGGGCACAAGGTCAAGAAGAGAGGTGACGAGGACGAGGAAGAGGAAGACAGTGATGATGAGAGCGGTACTGACGATGATGAGAAGAATGCTGATAGTAGTGACAGCGATAGTGATTAGTGCCACTCTTCCTTGAGCTCGTATGATATTATTTTGTTCAGTTGGTCAGGATGACGCGCTCTGTATAAGCTGTTAAGCCTGCTGTGTACATGGCGAGATGGCCGAGCGGTCTAAGGCGCTAGAATCAGGATGTCCTATCTAGTCTCTTCGGGGGCGCGAGTTCGAATCTCGCTCTCGTCATGTTTTTCTTTGCCAAAATAACCCATCTCGGAACGTGTGCGATCGTGATACTTAGTTCGTGCAAACGTTGGCCATGAAAAGTGGGACGCATTGCGGAAAGCAAGTTCTCCGAATACGAGTGGCTAATCATACAGTTACGTCTGACAACGACTTTGCTTATGTTCGTGCTCAGTGACAACCCATTCCTGCCTGAGTGCTCAAGTGCCTTCTGGATTGCGCAAGAATCGAGTCAATCGACGGAGTCATCGCAGCGGCTGTGGGGATCACCAAACCACTCAAACGTCTCCTTTTGTGACGGTCGCACTATCACACACGACTCCGCAAATATAGAATCGCCAAACGGCATGCTCTCGAGAAGCACGGCTTTGCGATTCACGGCATCTGCGCGAAGTCGAAGCATGATCCGGGCTGAGAGGATAGAGTGGAGGATGCGTTGCGGCCTATTTCAAGTTAGCGATCAAGGAAACCTCGATGGTGATGGAACACCTCACATAACCAGTGCTGTGGCAAGCTCGCTCTGAAGGGATCAATTTTGAGATGTGAAAGTGTTGGAAACGCGGACGGTGCGTACCGGTGCTTTCGCCATCATTGAGGCGTTCAAGGCGGATGAAACTAGAGTAGGATTCTGTGAGGTAGACATCCGAGATAACGTAGATGGAGGCTCACTTGCTAGTACAATATAATACAAAACGCCTGGGACGAGTAAGCTCTGGGATGAGGGTACCACGAGTACAACTACGGCTACTCACCATCTCGGTAGGCCCGACGTATAGCTGACGAATAGCGCAAACGGTCTAAACAAAGTTGTTATGGGCTGAACACAATAAGGTGAAATGTACTTACTACCGCGCCAGCCCCTCGTTAGGATCAGCATCAGCATCGCTAGAATTTACATCGGTAATAAGCAATACTACACTTGCATGGCAGCTCAATACTTACATATTTCCACCGCAGTAACCAAGATGTAAATTACGCCATCAGTCCTTGATTTATCGACCGCTCGACACCCAAGCTTGAGAGCAGACGTTTCATCTAGCGGCTAGCTTCAGAGAACGAGGAAGGAGGTTGAGGTGCACTTCTACAGCTTACAGGTTCGCGCTCGATGATACTTGACATATGCGATTGCAACACCGACAAAGGCGCCGCTCGTCAGGACAGCCAACCCAGCACCGAGTGTCCGGGATCGCGCCCAGAGTGCCCACACCCGTAGTATCATGATGACTTGCTCTGAAATGAGAATGCAGCAAAGTTGAGTAGGCCGCTACTCACTTTCAGCGATAAGGACACCAACAATGACCATCCCTGCAAAGTTGAGTACAATACAAGCGCGGAGCAACAGAAAAACTCACATCCAGTGATATCATCCAAAGTCCCACAAACCTTCACAGAATGAGCAGTACCCAGGTCGCCTGGACACCGGGGAAAACGATGTAGCGTATATTATAACGCAACACTCCAGACTTACGGTATAACCACAGAGGAGCCTCGATAAAGGGCAAATATCGGTTCAACAAAAACAAGCCCTTTCCAGCGCCCCAGGGCGCGAACCAAATGAGGTCGATTTCGTCCGCAACTGCTATCGAGTAATCATAAAACTTGAGGGAGAGCATCAGCTCACGAACACAGTACGCATTTTGACTAACCAACAAAGCCGCGCTGACAGCTTGGGAAACATAAGTATATATGGGAGGGGTTGTGATACAGAATCTCACCTGCAGAATACTGGAGACACCGCAGATGTTACCATGACCCAATCAGTAGAATGCGCAAAGAGACGAGGTTGAGCTCACCGAGCCAAACCGAAAAAGCGTCAAGGAGCGAAGCTCAAGGTCGTCGAGGGACATGGCGGGAGGCCCCTCCATTTCACGTCGAGCGTGTACTTATCGGAGAATCTTGTGCTGTATCTGGGTATTGTCACACATACATCAGTTACTTATAAGCAGGTTGCGTCCATCAAATGATAATTGAAAATTCCACGCCATGCACCACGGACGGGCCTTACAAGAACCAGAATGAACAAGTAATTCAGTTTGATGGATGGGAGAAATCACACACTATGCGATGCAATCAAAGGCGTATCTGATGCTGATTTTCAGGACGAAAGTATTTGGGGAGCTTCAGAGCCGCATTATGTCCCATTGTCGGTATGCGAGAGTCGTTCAGTAGCGCTGCGAGCTAGAGTGGCATTCAACGATTGTTGTGGAAAGTTCAACGTTGGACACGACGGTTTACGACATCGCCGACGCCGACGCCCAGACATCAGGTTGGGAGAACAAAGGGGTCTTCCGCAATAGTAAAGCCATCACCCATCAGCGGAATAGGTCCATCAACCTGGGCACTACCAGTATGTTAGGATAGCGCTTCAGCAGGTACAGCGATGACTTACATTGTTGAGCCGCAGATTGATTGTATCTAATGTAAATATGTTCAGGGGCTCTTCAGACGCGGTCAGCTGTGAAAATAGATGCTACAGATCATTGCCTAGTCGTGGCTCCCCAGGTATATGACATGCGTTCGCACGGATTTTAGTCCCGCGGGACGATGGTATGGAAGTTGCTGAAGACAGGGTAGGTAAGCTTGCGTACCGCATGGTGCAAATGAAACTGGACTAGATACCGGTCAGTACATATCAATATCATTGGTGAGTTCACCGGAAAGCTTATCTAGCAGTGTAACACTGCTACCCGATAAACCCGGCGCAAAGATGATAATCACTCCTAGAATAGAGGGCAGTGCATCTTCACCATCAGCTTGAATGATCTGTGTCATCCAGAGTAGATTACGGCCAGATGAAGTTTACTAGATGATGATGGTGGAGGTGGTATCCCGCTTGCTGCTTGTCGGTATGCTCAAGACACGAAACGATTGTCGTGGGCGTCGTTGCCGGATCTATATGATTATATGATTCTAATTCCTGAAAAACGGTTCTGTGCAGATCAATCAGATGGAATAAACCCTCCGAAGAGGTTGGAGCATACTGCAATGTACCTACCTTTTACAAAAATACTATCTTGCCAGTATGTACACTAAAAAATAGATTAGTTGAACAACGCTCTGTAACTTGCCAACAACGTACCGATCCACCATTTAAGGGACGATCTCCCCATGGAAGGACATGAAACAAACTTGTTGAAGGACGGTGCCACTGACGCGCCATCGCACGCGTCGACGATGCATCATGTGACCTCCAGACTTTGTCAACTACAACGACAGGCGTGCAACTCAGGCAGAACCAAGTTACTGTACGGTAAAATTTGCCTATAGCGCCATTTTCCCGCCAAGAGGTCCCTTCGTTGCGGCAACGAAGGTTCATATGCTAGCCTGTGGTCCCTGTCTCAGAATTTGTGTCTAACACTAGGCCACAGTCCACTCATCTCTTCATCTGCCCTCGTTCCGATTTCGTTCAACGACTCGGTCGGACAGCCCTCAAGCTGCTGTAAAATGATAGATAGATTTCGCGACGCCCCGGCTTGTTGGCAGGAATCTGAAGAACCCAAGGCGTTGAACGCTTATGGAGGTGCCATCGAAAGTTGGCAGAAAATAGAAAGCCATGGGATGTCGACCAGCGCCGGTCCCACAGCTCTTCGAATATCCTGGACACTGCGACAGTTGTGAGAGCTATAAACAGTAACGCCGACGCGTCCTTGGTTCAAACACCTTGGGGATAAAGAACTCTCTCACCCAAACATCATCGCCGCATTACGGTACTTCTTCCGAACTCGTGCCGTCTCAGCGCTGCCATGCATCGATGATGAGGGCCAAGCCTAGGTAACAGACTCCAATCGACCTCTACCTCTGTTGCTCATCTCCTCAGGTAAACGACCTTGGTGGTAACCACAGCTCCGTACTTCGCTATCAGCTACGAGCTTGATTGCGTCTTTCCGATCAACACTGATGGCTTCGAAGGAAGGAAGTCATCCGAGTCTCATCATCACGGATGCATGGGGCATATCAATCTCTTGACATTGGGTGCAACCGCGCTTATTATAAGCCATACTTAAAGTATGTTTCCGGTACGAGGCGACCCAAGTTAACGTAAACCACCACCATGCCCATCGATGGCACGTCCCCGGAAGATATGCAGTCGATAATCCATTCGCTGCAGCTGATGCGCCAAAGCTCGGTAAGTCTACACATCCAGCTGCAATCGTCTTATCTAACCGACGAATTCCCTGCGCACAGTACATCCCGAGTCAGCAGCTTTATATTTACTTGCTCTTTGCACTGGGAATCTGATAATACCCCCATTCGGAAGTTGCCAGCGGTGCTTTGCTGGTGGGCGAACGTCCCTGCGACGGTACTGCTTCGCAATATTCATGATAACACTAGGGCTACGACTATATACTCACTGTCTACGACGAGCGAAATTTGGTTTGGAAAGCTAAATGGAGTGTGGGGAAAGTTCTGTTCCTCCTGACCCGTTATCCTACGTTTGTTGACGTCGGAATGGCGGTCTACCGTACGTGTACACTCTATGTTATCTACCTCTCAAATGCTGACATGGTCACTAGACAACATCGCCCCTTCCATACCACCGGAGACATGCGTACTCCTCTACAACGTGTCTGGATGTCAGTATTCTCCTCAGATCCTGCCCCAGACCGCCGTTGATTCATTCGCACCTTAGGGATGGTGATCATTGGCATGATCATCGCCGAAAGTCCGTGCCCCATCGCCTACTCCTCTCTTACTTCCAGACGCTGAACTTGCCCGCCCAGTCATCATGGTAATCCGCGTATGGGCACTTTGGGGGAACTCGAAAATCGTAGGAGCGATCCTGGTAGTTTTATCCATCATCGGCGTGGTAGTCACCGCCATCTCCTACGCCTTGTTCAGCGGCTCCCTCGAATGTGAGCAGTCCCGATTTCTTCTTATCCGTCTCAACATACTGACTACCTATGTCAAAGTCATCGCAACGGATACCATCGCGCCGGGTCTAATCGGTTGTCTGCCCGGCCGCGGAACGAACATCGTATTCATAGGCTATTTGGTTCTCATGG